TCACCCTTCCTGCTCTGTCTGCCCTGGGTTAAACCATCAACTGCCCTGCTCAGGCAGAAGGAATAACTCTCTGTTCCAAAAAGGACAGGGGCTGAACTTAGGACTGGGAATGCCCAAGTCCAGCTGGAAGCCCTGCCATGAAACAGTTCCCACCCTGGAGTGTGTCAGCCCTGGAAAATGCCACTGGGAAGAGTTTCACAGCAAGCACAACCCCCAGAACCCTTGTGCTGAGTGCCAGGGCACTGGGCACTCCAGGGCACTCAGGGCTGTGCCACTGAGCCAAGGTGCATCCTGGCTTCCAATTCAAATCCATGAACAGAACAATAGGAAAACCTGAAAAAAACAGTGGAACTAAAAATGTAAAAAGTGCAAAAATACTTCCCAGCCTTAGCTGGTCTATGAGGCACTAGAATAAAATGTTTCATTGATAAATTAGAGGCTGCCAGAGAGCTGCCCCTGACTGGTAATATTAAACACAGAGATGCTGCTTCAGTAAATCACAGGGTTGCCAGCAAGGCAGAGTGGTACCTCCTTAATTACAGCACTGTAATTAAAGCAGTGAAGTCTCCTTGGTGTGCAGAGGCAGATATCWGCACAGATTATCCTACAGAGAATATGAGAGGAAAAACTGTCTCATTGCTGCTTTTTCAGCTCTGAAATTGCCTGTCAGGCAGCCAGCAGAGGAGCCATGCCCCTACAGCTGGGGGCACCTCAGCTCCCTGCCCTCAGCCTGGCCTCGCAGCTGAGCCAGGAAGGGCTCCTCAGCTTCCAAGGCTGAAACATTCTAATTTACACATGTTTTTTCAGTAGAAACCTCCTGAAAGCAGAGCCTCCACATTACAGGTAGGCAGATTCTGGCACCTCTTTATTCCTTTTGAGCTCCTTAGCCATCCAAACCACAATTATAAAGGTATCTTGGACACCACACCACTCTCCACAGAGGTTCAGACTGACAGAGGCTCCCAGAAAGAAAATTCCCACAAGACAGAATTTTCCCTCAGTCCCTTCCATGTTAGACCCTTCACAGATTAAAGAAAACAAGGCCCAACATTTCATGCCAGGTTTATTTAATCCTTCTGGACAGCCCTGGGGCACATTTCTGCCAGACAAGAGGCAGCTGAGGTAAAGGCACCAGTTTCACAGTGTTTCTCCAAGTGTGGTAAAAAATAGCTTTGAAAAGTTTCTTTTCCAAGAGGGGACCTTTCCATCCTGGAGCTGCTTCACTTTGGCAAGAAGCACAAAGAGAAGGGAGCWGTGCCTTGGGCTCTGAGCAGCTGRGCTGCAGATACAGTCCAATTTCTCYAATGAAGCTTAATTCATCAACACTTCTATTTCCCCTGGATATAACAAACTTCTGAGTTACTCAGTCTGAGGGATTCTCTGCTCACTCACTCGCTGGACAAAATGTAAAGCAAAGGATTTCTCTGAGAGGAAGAGATGATGTTCTGATGTGCCCATGAATTCACCTGTGTGGGAAGTGCCCTGGCTGATCACACTGACACACACTGTGTTTTTATCTGAGAGTTGTGACAGTCCCTGGGGTTTGTGGAGCCACTCTGGAGGTGGGAAGGAAGCAAATGTGTCCTGTCTGAGGACTGCTGGACAATGACACCAACAATCCAAGTTTCCAATGTGACACAACATCCTCCATGCAAGGCAGAGCCAACAGGCACAGCCAGAGGAATGGAGGTGATGCTTGCAATGCACCTTGCACTGGATTTACAGAAGTAAATAAAGAATGAGGAGATTTTGCAGCATAAAAATTGCTACAGCACTGATGTGTCATGTGTGAAAGTTCAATTGAATTTAGCTGGAGTCAGTACAGAAAAATTGTCCCTATGTATGTAAATGCTCTGAGTATCTGTGAGATTCCAGCAAAAAAAACCCCAAGTGGATACTCTAGGAGTTCTGCTCGAAAGATCCCAAGGAAATGTATTATTGTATTCTGAAAATGTGGAAGGAAACTTTTTAAGAATGAATTTAATTTTATTGATACACTGATACCCTTGTTTTAAAGAATTCAAAGTGTGCTGTGAGCCCTTTGTTGTCATGGCCCTCTCAGAAAGAGGATTAGCCCAGGCTTGGGAAATCCCAGTACAAGAGCTTTTGGGTCTGGAAGGCTTTTCTCATAATCCCTCACCCTGTATTTTCCACCTTGCTTTTTCTCACAGTGTGAAGCAGCAGTAGCAAGCACCAAGGGCACAAAAGCATGGCTGAGGTACAGAGGAGTTTCTCTCACTGGAAGGAGACAGGGACTCATTTCTTCCCAAAGCCCCAGCTAACACCTCATCAGTGCCCCTTCAGGAGGTCTGAAAGGTGTGAGTTGTCAGCCTGTGCTTTCAGCTTCTCCCACTGACTGAGTTTCTTCTGACARTGCCAGMCCACAGCCYGTGTGCTGGGGACACCACACTCCAYGTGAGCTGTGAACTGCAGATCCTCTCCCAGCAAAGCYTCAGCAGGAATTCTGCTCACACACTGTAACTGTTTCCCATCACAAGGAAACCACATCACATGCAACATTCCAGACAGCAATGAACATTCTATTACTTCTTTATATACAAGGAGATATTAATTAGAAATTCCTATTGAGCTATAGTCATAAATAAGAAATCATCTGAGCAATGATACATTTTCGGCCCTGATTCTTTGCTCTTTCCCGTTTTTGTGAAGGTGAAAGCAGATGTCCATGACCCTGATTTCTGTGTTATTCTACAAGGCTTTCTTTATGGTCTGAATTAAGTCTAGGGACTTGGAACCCCRAAGGAAAAAATATATATGGGAGCACCTGAGGAAAGCCTTCAGATTTGTGTTTCTTCCCTGGAGGTGAAGTGGAGTTTTGCCCAGATCCCCTCAGCAAAGGCACAAGTGGCTCCAGAGTTACCAGGGTGGCTGCAAACCTCACTGGCACACGTGTCAGCGTGCTGCACTATGGAAATCAGTAACCATTTACTGATTTTTGTGGAGCTCTCCTTCACTGGGAACAGAGAGCAGAGACTGCWGAACCATTTCAGAGGGACTCAGTGCAGGATCCGGGATCAGCTCAGTCTGAGCACAGAGAGAGAAATGAAACCACTGAAAAGYTGTATAAAGAGGTGGCAAAAGGAAGGTCCTGTCCTACCCTGTGATGAGAAAGAGATGGTTTGTGGCTCTCAGCCCCGCTGCCTGTGAAGATTTCCCCAGGCTGACCAGGAGCAAAGGCTTCCTGCAGCTCACAGAGGGAAAATCAGGGCTTTGGCTGAGCTCCAGAACTCACACCTCCAGTGGAGCTCTCCAGGTTGGTCTGCTGCTCTGAGGGTGCCCACAGGTCTGAGAGCAGCAGGAACCTGAAAAGCTGCTTTGTGCTTGGTGAGGGGGTTCTGTGCAATCCACATGGGAAATCTGGCCAACAATCCAACTGCAGGAAGAAAATGCATCTTCCAGGCTCCCACCATAAACTATTTTTATTATTATTATTGCTACCACTAATTAATTTCTATMATTTTGAGGAGAAATTGCCTCCGAGGCATTGAGAAACAGCTTCCTGCAGGCTCTCCTAGGRTGAGGCCCAAAGCACAGGCTTGTGGCAGAGGTGTCCCTTGTGCCCTGGCTGTTACCTGTAGTAACTTACTCCTGGGTGTAAAAGCATCGGGTGCAAGGGGAGGGTGCCACTTGCAAATCCCATCTTCAAAGGTCATGGCATGAGCCGAGCAAGGACCCCTGATCAACCCAAAACTTCTCCTAACAAACCCCAGAAGCCATTCCTYCAGCCCCAYRGCAGATTCCAGGCCATGCACCTTCTCACTTCTGCACACCTGACACTGCTGAGCTGCTAAAAGGATAAAATCAACACCCCAGACCTGTGAGGAAAGCAGCACCTACTTGTGGAAAGAGGTCAGCCTCTTGAGCGTGGAGAGCACGTTGTAGATGTCATCGTCATCAGCTTCTTCTCCCTGCAAGGGAAAGGCAAAGGGAAAGGAACCCTTGAGGAGACCCCAGCAATCCAGCCCTGAGCTGCACAGGCAGCAGCAGCTCCTGGGGGTTTATGCAGATACCAAAACCAACTTCAAATTCTCCTGTGACTTTTACCTAGATTCTGTAGTATTTAAGTAACCACTGCACTGCATTAAAAAATAAGCAAAATTATCTGACAAGTATTCAGCATTCTCACTGTGTTAATGYCCAAAGCACTATCCTTTAGCAGTAGACATCATTACCAAGACCAAAATCAGAGTTCTATCTCATTTTACAAAAAGGACTGACCCATCAGCTTTAACAACCAGAGCAGGTGAACATGCTACAACACCATTTTAGTATTTCCTGCAAACTAAACAACAAATTCCCTTAGTGAAGGGAAAGTAAAGTACTTCCAAACCCTAATTTTCCCAGCAATTTTCTGAAATAAGAAACCCACTCACAACAATTTTTCTCCATTTTGATATTTTTTTTTTCCATCTAAAAGCCTAATAATTAAGACATGCTCCTGTCTTGAGATGCAATGGTCAATCAATGTTTCTCTCATTATCAGCCCAGTGAGAAGCCATAAAGCAGTGGGTTACTTGCTTGGGTAAAYTGAAAAATGCAAATTTTTCAATTTAAAGTGACTTTAAAATGATGAAACAGACTTATTAAATTAATTATTCAGAGAATATAACTTAAAAAGAATATCACAAAGGTCTTAATTTTAAATCCTTGCTACTGCTGTTCCCTTTCTTGTCTTCTCCCATTTTATCTTGGTTCTGTCTCCAGAGCTCTGTCCCATGTCTGACTTATGCACTCGCTTTTACTCAGAGATCTAAGCCTCTGGATCCATTTCTCAGATGCCTTTCAGACACTGCTTCTCTGAAAGCCTCCCCCTGCTCCCCTGGGAGTGAATATCCACAGGGTCTCTGAGGCTTTTCTGTGCTCCCTGTGGTGCAGAGGAAGGGGATCCCTCGGAGGAGCCCAGTCCCTGCTCTGCCCAGCAGCCCCAGGGCAYCTTTTAGGGCTCCCTGCCCTACAGMAWGAAGGGAAGCCAYTGGCAAAGAGAGGTGAAGGGAAAGGGAGGGGGAATAAGCAGGTACTGACTTCTTATTTCARCAGCACTTATAGAGCAGTTCTGAAGAAAAGACAAATTTAAGGAMAAATGTTTTTCCCTCTTAGTCCATTTCTCCTGAGAAGACTCTTGGGAAGGCACTGATGAATCCCAGCAGCTCAGTGCTGTCCTCTGACTGCCCTGGGGTAAAAGGTGGGGACCTGTGGAGCAGGGCCAGGAAGGGAGAGSTCTCTAAAAGGCCATTATCTCTCACACTCAGCTGCAGGGCATCAGATGTGGGTGGTTCTATCCCTTTGCCTGGCAGTCCAGCTTTAGCCCTCCCTGCTGCACACACCAGGTTTTGGTCCTGTTGGCCAGAGGTGAGGAAAACCCCAGGCTAAGGCAGTGGCACTGGCTGGAAGGACTCCCATCACACACACAGGTGAGAAGGGATGGAGCACAAATCCTGGACTGTCTTTCCAGGCTCTGATCAGAAATTAGTGRGAAAGTACACCAAGAATGGCAGACAGACAGCAACATCCATATATTTTACGAAAGAATGCACAGTGGTGCCCCAACTCCTCTGGACTGTGGAAGGCTTCCTGATTGTGCTGCCTTTTCACTCGTGCACATTCCTGCAGCTACACATTTTTATTTACTCTGCAACATAACAAAGCTTATTTACAGTGTGCCTGTATGTGGCATGTTACATAAAAATAGGAAAAAAAGGTGTATTTCCTTTCATATGCCATTCCAAATCAGAGACTTAGCTTAACATCCTCTAAATGTACATCAAAAATTAAATGTGTCYGCCACAGTGCCATGCATGGCTGGAAGCAAAGAAAAAGCTCTGTGCAGCTCTCATTTATGCTTAAAAGGCATGAAAATTACAACAAATTAAATAGYGCTACACAAAGTTAAATTGCTGCAAAGGAAGAAAAAATGAATACACTTTCTATTCTTATTTAATGTATTCTGTCTTATGCATTTTGAAGGATAAATTCTTACAACTAAATCCTAGGTACTCCCAGGTTTCAGACTTGTATCTTTTACTCTTTCCAGAGCTCTTTTAATATGCCATTATACATTTTTTACTAAATCCTCTCTTCCATGCAAAACATAATCCAAGCTTGATTCTACTGCCTGCATATCCATTTGGGACTACTGGAATCACTACAAGAATKAATATAAATGCAGCTTCTTCTGCATTTTTCATCAGCTTTCACCCATTCATCCACTTAATTTTCTTATGTGCACTGTTTAAATACTCAACTAAATGTGCAGAAGCAGGATTGTACCATAGTCTTGTTTTACACCATCAGTGATTTGAAGGCTTAATGGCTACTCCTGTATTTYTACAGGGAGAGGTAGCTCCAAATAATTATAAAACTGCTGCTGCTGCACTCCATCTTCAGATGGATAATTTCATGGCTTGCTAAGAATGTTTTCTGCAGTCTATCCAAGCATATTTTAGGCAGTTAACTTCAACAGTTTTAAGAAAACAAACCTCCTGCAGTAGATCCTCCACAGAATGGTTGAATCGATCCACAAAYTCGTCGATCAGCTGGCTGTGGGCTATGTCAACTCTGTTCTGGATGGTGTATTCCTCACTGCACAGGATGCTGTAGGTTTTGCTGCAGGCTTCCAGAACGTCTGACTCCACGTGCTTCTCCACAACGAACTTGATCTGCTTCAGTAAGGCATCCAGATGCTGCAGAGCAAAAAGAAGCTCAGCTGTCCCCTCGCCGGGGCAGTGACACCGAGCAAAGCCCTGCCACAACACCTGCCCAAGGCTGGGCTGCTCGTGTGCCACACCAAAGCTCAGCCTGGTGGCACTGACCAGRGCTCACTCCTGAGAGCCTCCACACCCCCTGCCCAAGGTACCTTTTCCATCCTGCCCGTGCTGTAGATTTCCAGATCAAAGTACTGAGGGATCTGCAGGAGGTTTGCAACCTTCTCGGCATCAGCGGAATACTGGAGCAGCATGGAAACAAARCAAACCACAGCAAAGGAAAAATAAAACTCCTGCACTAGAGAATGAGAAACTCTAAAGACAGCTGTAAATCCTAGTGAAAGATTTATTTTGTTGAAAACTGTACCTTTGATAGCAGCATGGGAAGTGCAATAATGAAATGCTCAGTCAATTTATTTCTGTCGTCTATCTGAGTTTTTCTTTCTTTTGCTGTCAAGACCTGGAAGTGATCAAAAATAACTACAGTAAATACAACTTCTCCATATAGCATTCATTAACTTTTCTAAATGTTGTATCACAAACAAAAATCCATGCAAATGTCTGTTTAACAGATCAAAAGAGGAGGGAATAAAAAAGACTCAAAACACATTTGGGTTGAAGAATGATTAAGTGGGAGGACTGTGTGTCCTAAGAAGCTGTGACTGAAAAGGAAAATACCATGTAACCCAGCAGGAAATTGTCTTCACACATCAACATCTTTTTAGTATTGAAATTCAAATATAACCCAAGTCAGTGGAAGTTTTGCCTTTGCTTCCAAGTGTACTGAGCTCCGGCTCTCACACATTAAAAACAAAGTGTTAATGTCAGACCTCAGGGCAAACTGAAGTATAATTAAGAAAACCAAACCCAAACCAACTGTTGGTAGATTTTCATGAGCAGATTTGTGGCCTCATCTCTAAACTGGAATGGAATTCTCAGTAAAAATATACTTCCAAGCCCACAGGGATGTGCTGAAGCACTAATGCTGTCAGAGCAAAACCCCCTTGGAACAGTGACCAGACAACAATCAACTCGGCGTGCATCATCAAAGCTTAGATCTGGCTGCTTGGCTTCAGGAAAGGAAAGGACACTTCTGAAAACAAATTGTGAAAATAAAATACTCATATTAGCTAATGATTGACATCTAGCCAATCTGCCAGACTGCAMAGTAGGGTTACAAGCTAAAGTCAGAAGAGAAACTATTTGACAAGAAGGTGAGCGCTTTATTAGAAATCTGTGCTATTACAACTGTGAGAAGGAGCTGGTGGGATGATGAGACAGGGGAAAGCTTCAGTGAGAAAGCAGAGATCCTGCAGTCACCAACCAGCCCAGCATTCACAGTCCAGCTGGGGAGAAGTAAAAGCTGGGTCACCCCTCCACTTCCACCACCAGAAAGTTAATGCTGACATTATCTGGTGCTTCAAACAGAAAACACCAACACGATYTTTTTTTTCTTCAAATTTAAAGATCACTTTGCCTGCTAGAAAAGTTTGCAGCTTGAGACAAAACAGTTGTGCTTACAATACAGTTTTGGTGATGAAAGATACAATGTGCTTGAATAAATTTAAGTGCTTTCATGGATGTCCTCCTCAGCCCTGAAATGTTTTAATAAATTAGGAATTCCAAAGAACATGCTTTATAAATTAAGGTACATAAAGCATGTTTAAATKGATGGTTTCTTGGAACTTTTCCTGGGATGCAGTTTCTGGACATGAGACTAATCTGCTCTGGTACATAAAAATTAMGAAGTTAAGTAACGGTATTATTTTAGCAATAGAGAACACCAGGGCTGTCTCCAGATTTCATCTTTATTAAATCTGTGGCTTTCTTTAATAAACTAGTTATGATCATTTAGAATGGAAACTAACAGAAGTACTGCATGTTCACATGGGTTTATTCCATTTTAGTCTATCCTAAGTAAGAAGGGGACCACCAAAAATCAGGGGAGTATGTCTGAAAAGCTGAGACTGCTTTGGAAYATGGATGCAGTATTTATGGAGAATACAGCTGAAAGCCTGTGACTTATACTGAAGTGTCTGCATGTCCTCAGGAGTGGCCACCCACTGGAAAATAAATGGAAGAGGCAACATGGCCAAAATGTCAAGTTCTGAAATTCTTAGGGCACTCATTGGAAGCGGCCGAAGAGGAGGGATGCCTGAAAAACACAGACACGTTCAGACTGGTCCCAGAGTCCCTCCTGCTCAGAGCAGAGCCAGCCCAGGGGTCACAYTGGGATGATCAGGGCTTTGTCCAGTCAGGTCTCAAAAACTGCCAAGCATGGAAAGGGCATCAACTCCCAATATCTGTTCCAGTGCTTAAATACCTTCACCATGGAGATCCTATTGACTTTTCTGCAAATTTTGTGTCCAAATTAGCAGCACATTCATTTTTACAGAAGACAGGTAATCCTACTCTGCTCCTACACTTTCCACTCCAATCCAGTTTTAACATTATAGGCTGGAGATGTGGGTACAAATGTAAGGCAGGCTTATGATAAAAAGAGCATCCAAAAATATAATAACAAAGTACTTTCATGCTGTAAATTCATATTGCTTAACTTGGCAATGCAAACCCCAAAATCAAACGAAGAGAAAACCAAACACACCCAGAAACTGAATCTCTAATGTTTCTATTTGCAGTGTTCAGATGCAATGGCAAACACAGACTGCAGAAGTGCTGTGGAAGTGTCCCGAGGTGGCATCCCAGGCWCTGCTCTGGCGCTGGCAGCACCCACAGCCCCACTCACCCTCTTGCCTGTGCCCCTGCCCACGGGGGGATGTGCCTCGGCAGCCTGGCGGATGGTGCACACCAGCAGCTCGATCAGCGCGCTCTCCTGCCGGTCCGACATCACTGCAGGGACAACAGGGCATCACCTGGCAGGGCACTGACACGGGGACGGGGGGGACAGCAGGGGACACATGGCAATTGGGGACAGCAGGGGACACACAGCAATGGGGGACAGCAGGGGACACACAGCAATGGGGAACAACGGGGGACACACGGCAATGGGGAACAGCAGGGGACACACGGCAGTGGGGGACAACGGGGACAGCAGGGGACACATGGCAATGGGGGACAGCGGGGGACACACAGCAATGGGGAACAGCAGGGGACACACGGCAATGGGGGACAACGGGGACAGCAGGGGACACACGGCAATGGGGGACAGCGGGGGACACACAGCAAAGGGGGACAGCGGGGGACACACGGCAATAGGGGACAGTGGGGACAGCAGGAGACACACGGCAATGGGGGACAGCGGGGGACACACAGCAAAGGGAGACAGCAGGGGACACACAGCAATGGGGGACAGCAGGGGACACACGGCAATGACACAGCAATGGAGGGACACACGACAATGGGGTGACACACAGAAACGGGGTACAGCAATGGAGGGGACAGAGAAACAGGGGACACAGAAGAATGGGGACACACAGCAACAGGGGAACATGGCAATGGGGGGTCAGAGATACAGGGGTGGACATAGCAACAGGGGACACAGAGAAACAGGAGGGACACAAAGCAATGGGGTGGACACAGAAACAGGGAGACAGCAACAGGGGACACCACCACAAGGTAGTGCAGTCACATTTATCGAGGCTTTCCTGCCTCCTCTTTGCTTTGCCATTCACACCATCCCAAAACACACACAGCAGAACTGGAAGGCCAGAGGAATGTAGGCTGGAGGAAAGGAYGGATGAAGGGGAATATAAGGAAAATCTACAAAATAAAGGGTGTCATAGAGGACAGACAGCAATGGACCATCTGCTGTCACTTCCTCATGAATTCTCTGCCCTTTGGCAAGTACTTCTGCTCACATGGGAGAACCAAACCCCACCAGGCTATGCAGAAACAAGGAACCACAGTGCCTAATTCCTAAGGAAATTAGCCCATAAATACCCCCACTCCAGCAGGTGCATACCAAAAGGTCAGCTTTTGAAAGATGGACATGAGCACATCTTGCCAGGAACATTAATTTTTCACCCACCTAAGCTCTGTGAAGGTCCCTGAAGGAGGACAATCCCGAAGGATTATAAAGGATCTTGAATAACACTCATTACCCTTGGGGCCCTTTGCCCCCAGCCTCCCTGGSTATTTTGCGCTATCATTAGCAAAAGGAGATGTGAAAGTAATGGTGAAAAAATCCCCCTTTTTTTTTCCTCTTGAGAATTCGTTATGTGTTCACATTGCCTGGAAAAGTCCCATATTTAASTAGCATCACCTGAAGTCCTTGTTTATTCAAAACGACATTAGCAATTTAATTTACTGAAACAGTTATTTAAACATTCAGACAAAATGAAGTCTTAGCCTTTAATATCAGGGAACCACAGTACAGCAGACATGAGAAAAAAAACCCTCTGGAGTACGAGAAGAAAAACAAAGTACAAATTGCTTCTTTGAAGCAAAGTGCATTAAAATTGGATTAACCCAAAATTATCTTCAATAGGTTTTCCAAACAAACCACAACAAAAAAAGATGTATCACTGTGGATGGCAGAAGTACTTAAGGAATAATTAACAATACTGTGCAATGCCAAGGAAGCACAGTGGTTAAACCAATACCTTCTTCTCCTTGGACTGGCTCCTCCAAGAGCAATTCTGTCATACATTCCCAGTCTTTCAGCAGTTCTTGAGAGCTCTCCCACAAGCTATCCACCAGATAGGCTGCATGCTCATGCAACTAGAAAATCCAAAGCAATCATCAGTACAACACTCAGTGTAAGCATCAGCTCCTCAACTTTCACAATCATGTGGCCACAGTGTGTCCTGGGCATATCTTATGTTAGTTGGAAAGAAAATTCAGTTTGAAACTACCTCTGGAAGGTCTTCTCCCAGCTGAATGATACAAGTGCAATGGGGTTATGTTTTAAGAGAAAATGGAATAAACCCAAACAGCTTCCTTTGCATGAAGCTGCTTGTTTGTGAAAAACCTTCCCCACATTTTGACCCAAAGGCTGTAAACTTACGCTTCCTCACTTTCTCACTGCACTACACGAAGGAGAGATGGTGAGCCATGAGAGTTGTAATGTATTTGTTTTGAACAAGTATTTGGTTTACATCCGTGCTGCTATGTGCTTGGAAAAAAGGAGCAGAAACCCTGGTGATTCCAGGGCCTATAGATTTAACATTAACTGCAAAAGATGTTTTTATGTGAATTAACACAACTGATGTAAAGTGAGAAAAATAATCCACAGGCTTCWCCTGTTTTCTAAACTTATCTTTAACCACTACCAACAAGTACCAAGCACAGCACGCAGCCTATGCTTGCTGGATGTGGGACTGATTCCTTTGCTGGAAAAAATGCCTCAGGGCAGGGAAGGAGGTGTCAGTACATTTCCCTCCTCTTATTTCTGACAGCTTTGGGCAAAAGTCCCTGCTGCTGGGCAAGGTTCCCTGCCCTGAATGCACCCCAAGGCTGCAGCATTAACTTGTCCCATGCATGTGGAAACTCCCAATTCTCTAACTCTATACCAAAAACTGGAGCCAGAATTGTTCTCAAAAACAACAACAGCAAAAACTGGCCCTGGGAGAGCAGAGACCTCAGGGAGCAGCATGGGAGGCATTTTGCTGATCTTGCTTTGGGAGTGGAGCAGTTTCTTTTCTCCTCAGGAGGACAGACAGGCTCAATGCTGAGTAATTCCAATAACACACACTCACATCTGTTTGCAGTCTAAATGGTCTGTTTGCAGTCTAAATGGTCTAACAAAGGTCTGTTACAATCTAAGTTTTAAAGAAGCTGGAACTAAAAATCCATTCAGGTGGCACACTAAGGCTCACAGAAATAGTGACCCTTTGTCCAGACTTTAATTACAGGTTTATGAGGGGTTTCTAAAAAACAAGAACACTGTACTGAAATTTTSTCCTTCCTTCTCAGCAACTCTTAAGTGTTTCTTTTCATTCTCCCAGTTGAGTCTCTCGTTCAAGGCTTCATAACAATTGAAATGACCAATTGTGATACCTTTCCTTTTGCTTTTTACCCAAAATATACTACCCTCACTTCTCTAGAGAAACATTTCTGTCATTCCTTTCTTTGGGTCTATTTATTATCAAATCAAATGTATAATTTTGAGCCTTYYCCCTCTATCTTCAGAACATCYGTACCAGACMATATCTTCTCAAATKTCTCCCCTCCACTGCCATTCCYCACYTGAATTACTGCATTACATCTACCAYACAACTTCCCAACTGCCTCAATAAACCATGGGCACAATCCCACCCTGGATGTGTTCAAACATGTGTTCACATCATGCTTCTGTCCTCATCCTCCAATGTTTCCAAGATGTACCTGCATAAGGCCCTGAAGGATCTCATCTCATCTCATCTCATCTCATCTCATCTCATCTCATCTCATCTCATCTCATCTCATCTCATCTCATCTCATCTCATCTCATCTCATCTCATCTCATCTCATCTCATCTCATCATCTCATCTCACAGCTCACCCTGCTCTGAACTAAGAACCCACAGATCCTTTCCACTCTGACTTCATCTATGATTCTAACCAGAATTGGAGATGTTTTGCAATTTTTTTCTCCTTCCTGGTTCCAATTATTTTCCTCCACAAAGAGTAACTCCAGAGGTGTTCTTCTTACATGGTTATGCAAGAAAAGAACCATTTACATTTGTGTGCAGCAATGCACCCTGGCAGCCACTGCAGCCCCAGCAATGCAGTGTGRGCACAGTGGGGACGTGAACGAGTTGAATAAACCATGAAGATTTTCAGATCTTTCAGAATTTGCTTAATGGACAAAGAAATGGAGGGGCAGGGAAAAGGGCTTACAGYATTTCTGAAAACATGAAAAAATGGAAAAGAAAGACAATTTATGACTGAATGTTGATAAAACACTACTTAAGTTCCAGATTTTATTAAATGCTTAAACGTTAAAAATGACTTTTTTACCTCACTTTCAAGAAAGAAAAGAACCAACATTCTAATAAGGTTTCCATTGGGGCTATTTCGSCCCCTCCTCTTTGCTAGAGCCTCTTCAGCTTGGGGATCATGTCTGCTGAACAGCCTGAAAATAAGCAGAAGGAGCTCATGGCTATCACAACACATCTCATTTCTGCAACAGTACGATGAGCATTCATTCTTGATACAGTAAATTTGTTCATAAGACAGTGAAAGAATCTGAAGCTATTCTGGGAAAGAGGGCACAACCTCTGATGTCTGAAGAGATGAACTGATCTTCAGAGTCTTTCCGTTTACAAAGCTGGAAGAATTTCACAGAGGAAAAAGCTCTCCAAAACCTACCAATATTGAAGAAGGTTTTGCAGTTTTTAATATTTGCATCACCTGTACAGTTTTGCATTTGTAACTTACCCAGTCTTACAGTGGTGGCAGCTCTTCCTGCACCAGTGAGTGCTCTAAGAGCTGAGGCCGTGTCACTGTGGCTGGGACACTGTACAAACCACCCTGACACCCAYGGAACAGCCAGCCTCAGGTACCAGGGGCAGCACCAAGGAGAAAAACAGCTCCTGGSCATTGTTTGGGGCTTTAAATTACAMACTCTRCACTGAGCTCCCCAATGCATGGCCAGTCCCAAACTCCTCTCAATGCTCAAATCCTCCTGYTTAAAGAGACCTCAGATGTGCCAATATTACAGTTACAGCAATGACAGTATTACTTTGAGACATTTGAAAGCTGTTTCTGGCTTTTACAGTGAAACCACGAAGCAAATTAACACATGAAACACAGAAGCCTGATTTCACTGCTGTAATTCACTGAAGAGAAGGATGAGTTACACACAAATGTTGCATTTTAGTTAAAAACATCACCTCGTCCTCCCTGCTCCTACCAGACAAGCAGTGAGCACCTCTGCAAGTGCTGGTACCTCACAAGCTGCACCTCAGGGGTGAGCCAGAGAGCCTCTGTGCTTGGATCCTTTATATCCTCAGCACTGTTTGCTTTCCTTTGCTGAGCACAGAGAGCAAATCCAATCATTATCTTACACGGACAAAGTGGTAGTGAAATGTATTAAATTAGGTGAGATAAATCATACCTCAAGTGCCTCAAAAAGATTCTAACTTATTTAACTGGAGAKTTTCTTTGCAGAAACCAAGACAAAATTAGTTAAGAATGAGACAATCTTGCCTCCATGCTGTTTACTTTGAGACACATTTACAGAACACAGAATAGGAYCTTGTTAGAGAACTCAGAACAAAGTTTTGTCTTTATCCTAAGTGGGCTGAGGTGCAGATATGGCCTTTTTTACCCTCAAGGCATTTTTCAAAATTATTCTGTCACACGTTGATTAATAAAGGAATTTTAGYATGTATTTTAAAAAAGAACCTAACCCTTTCCTGTAACTAGTAAAATGTCTTGCAGATAATGGAAATCTGCAAATATATTCCTTGAAACAGATAATGCTTGATTACAAAACTGGAATTCCAAAAATCCACCAGTGAAAGCTTACAATTACAATGGGGACTTCTAAATCTGTAATAAGCCRTAGAAAATTAGAGCACAGGCAAAGGAAAACAAATGCTTTTGTGTATTTTTTTCTATCTATCTTGGCATAAAAAACTAGATAACCTGGGTTCTGATATAAATAATCTCTCCATATATAAATTAAAGAACTCTAATGTCWCAACCCATTAGGACAAAATATCAAATTCCTGGTGAAGGATTTTTAACTGCAAACCATGAAAAGGTTAACTCCTATGATGTGGCAATGTCCTGGTCCCAGTTACTGATGTAGTGTGACACATTCATGGAAAGGCTGGCTCATGTCCTTTGGCATAGTGGAAACATCAGAGATGTCATMATGGTGTAGTGCATTTTCAGGGGAAGGCAGTGAGTTTAGAAACAGATTTTGTAATTATTGCTACATAAAAACCTCTCAAGTTCACAATGCTGAAATAAACTGGCTTAAAATTTGGTAGAAATGATGACTATAGATGTATCAGGCAGACCACCACAGACAACAGGCTCAATCTTATCACACCAGGAATTCAGCAAGTGCTGCAGGACTTAAATCAACCTTAGAAGTTTATGCAGTGTTTGTGTATTTACCCTCGAAGAGTTAGGGAMAGTTATCTGAACTGTAGAGCAAGAAAAATGCACATTCAGTTTCTTCAAGTCCTCAGGTCTTGACTTCAAACAAGAGAATAAAGTCTCCGGTTTAAATTAAATATCTGGCTTGCTAAATTGGGATATTTYACTCTACTGCTGCTTTGATTTTTGAGGTTGCCTCTGGGAAACATTCACAAATCTGGTTTTATTGCAGGGCAACTGATGACTTACTTTTTGTGGAGGAATTCGCCGGCTGCCACAGCCACAGGCCGGTGTGCTGAGTACACCAGGTGATAAACATTCTCGCAGTCTTCATTGGACAGAGCCTCCTCACTGCCRCTGCAAGAGTCACAGCAAAACTGAGCTCAGCAAAGCTTCCCCTCCATCCCTGARCYCAGCARAGCTTCCCCTCCATCMCTGAACCCAGCARAGCTTCCCCTCCATCMCTGARCYCAGCARAGCTTCCCCTCCATCCCTGARCYCAGCAMMGYTTCCCCTCCATCCCTGAGCTCAGCAGAGCTTCCCCTCCATCCCTGAACCCAGCAAAGCTTCCCCTCCATCCCTGAACCCAGCAAAGCTTCCCCTCCATCCCTGAACCCAGCAGAGCTTCCCCTCCATCCCTGAGCTCAGCAGAGCTTCCCCTCCATCCCTGAACCCAGCAAAGCTTCTTCTCCATCCCTGCCCTCCCACCCTTCACAACCCAACCACGAGGTTCATTCACTTCCTACAAAATCCTCAGAGGTTGGACATGGACTTCAAGGATCTTTGGGTCAACTTCAAAATACAGAGCTATTCAAAGGGCCTGTGACACTGAAAGTTTCTCTCATTTCCTTCTCCCAGTTGTATAAATATAAAATAATATTGTGAACAATATATAATGATATACAATAATATTGTGAAAAGATCAGAATCACTGCTTCCAAACCCTCCCCTGCTTATCCCTTAGCCCACACTGCATTGCAATGCASATCCTGCAAGATGCTAAACACTCACCAAACACTATTAAACTAAAACCCTGGTATCACAGAATCCTTYAGGTTGGGAAAGACCTCCGTGCTCATCGAGTCCAACCATAAACCCAGCATCTCTGTGTTCACCACTAATCCATGACCCCAGGTTCTTCTGAACACTTTCAGGGAAGGGGATTCCACTGCTTCCCTGGGCAGTTGTTCCAGAATGTTATAAAAATGGTATCAAAATGTCAGTCTTGTCACAATCAGGATGTTACCCCCATCCTTGTTTAGCTGACAGTTGTGTATCAGGACTCTACATCTGGCTTCCTACCAGACATAATTTTAACTGGTCATTCCCCATCAGAATTRCTCCAGACACCTTTCTGGAGTTCCTACCTGCCAGAATATTGCCCTGTGCTCCTCAAGGTGACCCATACTCTTCTGGTACTAAATGCATCTGGCTGTGCTTTCAACATGCAACCAAAGGTAAAGCAGGAATGGACCAAAAAAGGTGTACCAGGTAATTTTGGACCTTAAATCTTACTGTGTTCCCAAACATTACTAGTAATACAGGGAATAGATGTGCTCTTYCTGTCATTTCTGATCATATTTGTTATATTTACTTAAAAAATGTAACAGTRGATGCAAGATTTCATTTCTTCCTACTATTACAAGGCTAATCTCTTTAAAACAAAATGACCCATAAAAAAAAGGCTGAAATCAAGGCTCCTTTACTAAGGAAAGGTTACTGCAATCTTTCATCCAAATTCAGCACGTCCAAAAACATTCTTCAGAGTAGAGCCATTGGATGTAAAATACACAGCAAAAATTCTATGCATCTGCTTGTAAAACAGGTTTTGTTTTAATAAATAGATCCTAAAAGTTCAGCAGTGGCCTCCAGGTGCACGCTCCTGAGCTGCTGGGACAGGCTGGCTCCACATGAGCACGTGGAGGATTCCTGAGGTGAGAGCCTTACCTCAGGGGACCCGCTGCATCCCCACATGGAAAAGCCTGGCAGCAAGTGTCCTASCAGGGGACTCTTTTCAGCTGTCAGGAACCCAACCAACTCTCCCTGCCTGGACCTTCACTCAGCCRCTGCTGGAGTTATTCCAGCAAGCACAACCCACAGACACTTGTTTTGGGAGGACAGCAAAAGGTGGGCAAAAGGTGCCACAGCCTGTGGCAAAAGGTACAAATGCCCTTTGGCATTCTTCCCCATGGTGAATSCACAAATGGCTCCAAAATACACTCACATTTTTACACTTTGCCTCCTGTATTTCCATGAAGTGCAATATCTGATTTTAGCTTCATGTCCATGTTACTGTGTACTCAGTTCAAGGTCATACTCAATGCAAAGCAACACAATCACTCCAACACACAAGCAAAGCCCTCAGTCACCCCAGCACTCCTGGCTGAGGCCATTTTCCAAGGGAATGGGGGTGTGGAGCAGCACTCACTGGAGGATGAGCGTGACCAATCGAATGGCTTCCACGGCAACATCGTACTCCTTGTCCAGGGTCATGGACACGATGCGGTCCTGCAAGGGAATGGTGGCTCAGGCACGGGGCACACACAGGCACTGCCAGCAGTGCACAGCTCTAGATTGTCAATGAACTGTCAAATAAACACCCTTGGGACAAAGATGCTCACTGCCAGTGGGAYCCCCTCAGTAGCACCCAACCTTTACAGTACCCTCAGCTGTGAGCCCTGCTCAGTGGGACCATGGCAATGAGTGCTGCAGCAATCCTTCTCCTCAGCTGCTTGCCAGGAAGGGAGGCAGGCAGGAGAACTGGAAGCTGCAGCACTACTCTGGGCTGCCTTAATTTAACAGGTCTTTCCTGAAAAGTCATGTCTTTGGTTTGACAATAACAGAAAAATTGCCCCTCTTCATTCCCCTGAAACCAAATCATTTCAGAGCAAGGAATGCTGCATATTTGGAAATCCTGCAAAGAAAAATCACACCTGAATTCATGCATGGTTTCACTTTGTGTTTTCCTGTGTTTTCCTCTTTCTAGTGGAGACAAGCACACCATTTTCCTGTCAAATCGAATGATTTGGTAACTTCTAAGGACCCTGCAGTTATRAGAAGTCTTTTAAGGGTTTCTTTCTTCTTAGGTTCAGTTTCCTTCCTGGCAAAAATATCTGTGATTGGTGTATGCTGTCCTTCCCATGTGGGGWGAATTTCCATCCAGCCATAAAAATGCAATATGTCTCAGTGCTCWTTGCTTGACTGATCAAGTTACTGAAAAGAAATTGGGCCATCTGAAAACAAAACTCGATTTCTCTGGCTTAATCTGCTTCAGGAAGAACTAGGTACTCCATGACATTTTGGGGTATGAAAAAACAGAAATCAGGGACTGGAAAAGAAACCAGGCGAAGTGTAAGGCAACAACAGTGAAAATCACCAGAACAAACCAGGATAAAATAAAGATTTTCACCTATTTTCCCTACTATTCCAGGCATTTAAAAGCTGGAGGGAAATATCAAGCAACTGATATTTATTTCAATACAGAAATTTGGGATCAGTTAAAGAATGCATCATGCCTGTCCCCTTCCAACAAACCCAGGTCTGCAGAGACACCTTTTGTCACTGACTCAATGAGCCTCTATCAATTATTGTTAAGTTGCTGGGGAATTTGATAAATTCCTTGTATATCTAAACAGTTTTAAAGAATGTGAGGAGTTCATGAAGAGACCCAAAAAAGTAACTTTTCAAATAGAACACTCTGTTATGAACAAGACAAAAAAAAATGTTGTCAACTTTTCCTACGGTCCTGGCCAAGGAACAGCAACAACAGCACCAAGAGAAAGAACAGCCAGAGACATTGATCTTAAATGTGTCAGTGGAATTCCATGTATTCCCTCAAAGAGTATCTTACACCCCAGGATGCCACAGGGAGGGAACTGGCTGCATACAGAGGAGTGAGCACACAGGTGTAAAAGCCCTTCTGCATCTCTGAGAAAAGCCTGCAAGGAASGGGATCCTCCCTCCTGCCTATAGAGCAGAGCTACCCTCTGAATCTGAGGTCCTTGGGGACTTTGAAACGGAGAATGTTTTACTTCCAAAAAGACTGTTCTCTCCATTTTCCCCAAACATACCAGGTTTAAAATAAACTGGATTTTACCACACATTTTCTGCGTGGTGGCAGCTGCCAGCCAGAGCTGCACACCCAGCACCTCTGAAGGCATGACTTCTGTAGCTGAGCAAGTTCCAGCCCCAGCTGCTCAATCTGCCTTCGCAGAGATTCCCTGCACCACTCTACAASAGCACAACAGGGCACAGGCCTGTATTTTCAACTTGAAATGGTGATTTTCATTGTCTCATTCTGTATTAGGCTGTGAACAAGGCAGACTGAAGAGMCAATCTCTCCTTGTGCTCCCAGGCTGGGGAGACAGCACAGGGTCAGGGATGGGGGACTGATTGCATAGGAGTTAATTCACTGCTTTTCCATGTGGGGTCAGGTAATGTCTGCATCAGACAGGACTCATTGATGAAAAACGAAAAGCTTCTCTCTGACAGACAAATTTTTGTTTTTATGGACTAGGCTGATTTTCCAGCATAGCACCTACTCTTAGACACAAATGCTGGAAAGAACAGGCATTTTTCCTTTGAAAAAGGCATAGATCAGATCCTTGTCACAGCTCTCTAGAAGGAGGTGAAATATTAACACCCCAGCACAAGGCACTCTGGATCAAATTAATTTATTCTTTAAACAGCTAGAAGACCTCTAGAGAGATTTCTCTTGACAGTTTGAATGGATTGAACTGAACAGCAGCTGAACTGTGCAGGTCAATTAAATTCTGATGAAGAAATATAAATAAGCAACCATGGAACTGAAAATGGCATTTAGGTCAATTATTTTTCAAAGAGGTGGTGGTAGAGTCTGTGGTGGCAAAACATTTAGCTCATGTATCAGAGATTCAAAAAGCATTAATTTGGAACTTTGCTCCATCCTGGTGCCAAAGGCCACATCCTTGACAGCACAGCTGTAAATCCAAGTGCAGGCATTTGGGCTGTGCCAGCTTTCTGTTCCCTTGGTGAACAGAAATTGAAACTGATAAATCATTATGTTAAACAAATCTGTCCTCTGGGCTCACAGAGACATTGAGCTCACCTTTTCTTGTTATTTATTCAATAAGGAAACAGATTTCTGCAGTAAAACCAGCTTCAACGGGACAGCAGAAGAATGAATTCCTAAGAGGGTTCCTTTCTTTCCCTCTGAACCTTTTTGACAGAAATGGAAATTCMTTGAGCCATCCCAAACCCAGAAGCAATGCAAGGCTATCCTAACTTCCTTTAAGAGGATTGTACTGGGAAAAATAGGATGTATTTGGAGGCTTCACAACCCTGTGGTTTTCTGGAGGGCATTAATGAGTAACTACTGCTCAAGGTGTCTCCAATTGTCCTGGAAAGTTCTGCTGGTGGATGGGACAGGCTCGGCCTCACAGAGTCTTTTCCCTTACAAATTATGGGAGCCTGACAAGAAACACATTTTCTAGTAAAGCGAAGGAGATGTAAAGCCCACGAGAGCTTTTGTGGTCTATTTAAAAATAAATGGAATTACAGATGCAGCAAATATAAACAAATCTAAGTTTGCACAGAGGAAGCAGGAAAAGCAGCAGAGTTGTAGGGGCCATTTTTTCTGGTTGTTCTGAGATGATAAACCAAACCAGACTTACAGAGGCTTTAGAGGAACAATTTGAGGTCTGAACCTGTTTGCCAGGTTCTCTCGATGAAAGGAAACTTTGTCTTTACTGCAGCAGTCCCAGAAACTGGTTTTATAAAATCAGAAGAATGCAGGCCCTTAAGTGGTCTCACAAAATGATCCAGTTTTACCTCCTACTTTAGCCAAATGTACTCAGTTCATTCCTGACAGATATTTATTTAATCTACCCTTTAAGACTGTTACYTTAAATGAAGGAGATTATTAATAAAGAGTCTGCTCTACTATATAATTATAATTTTGGACAAAAAGCTTTCTTTAATATCTAGGCTTTACTGCAGGTTGAGCATCTTTTTTCTGCATCTCAAGTGAATGTGGTAAAAGGCCGATCGTCATGTTTTTATATATTGTTTACATACAGGGAAAATGTAACAAATTTTCTCTATTTTGTGCTTTCTAGATCAAACTGGAGGAGTTAATAATGAAATGGCAGACAAAACCRGCAAAGCACCATAAAATCTACAGGGAGAAGTTCAAATCTTGAGCACAAAATTTATAAATATTTTAATCTCCACTTTTCTAAACAGAGTTTTTCATTAGCATCATAATAATGATTTAAGTTGAAATAAACCAGTCAGCGYTGCTTCTATTCTAAACAAATTTTTTCATCAGGATTCTAATAAAGATTACAATGAAATAAATGAGTTTTTCCTTGAGGGTAGCCTTTCCCACAGTTGTGTGCTCTGCAGAGCACAAAAGCCATGGGGAGAGGCAGCAGCTGAGGTGGTGGYAGTGCCTGAACCCTGCTCAGCAGGGACAGGGCTCCCACACCCAGCTCTCACACAGTTCATGTGTAAAGTAAAGGAGTCAGGCCATAAAGTGAATTAACAGCCACATCAATTAAGCCACAGATATTAAGCAAAAGGTTTGTGCCAATGAAAAGCCCATTAAATGCTCCCCCAGCAGGGCCAAGCAGGCTCAGGGGGTTCAGAAGCTCCTGCTCTGCAGCAAGGCTAGCTCACTGCACACAGGACTGTGCTGCACATCCAGCTGACTCCTCCTCCACACACAGGCACATATGGAGCTAAAAAAAGCTGTGTAACAAACAATCTTTCATTATGCCGCTACTTTTAGATAGATTTCAGATTGTATAAGTACACATCTTTAAAATTCAGTCAATCTAAAATTAAGTAAGTTCATGCAGATTGAATAATGACAATATTTAAGCTATCAATAACACATACAGACCAATAATCATCCTGGTTAAGTCTGACAAATCTTCCAAGATAAACCCTGTGAAATGGATTTGGCTTCATCTCAGCACTCAGTAACACRGTTTTGGTAGTGAAGTTACAAGCCTTGTCACAAACACATGAGTTTATTTTTAACAGACATGACTCAAAGACTACAACAGGATGATGATACTTTTACTTTCTGTCCTCCTTCCAAAAATTGTATTTCTTCTTACCTTGAATCTGTTAGTGAACAGCTCCAGYTTGGGAAACAACTCTCTGTTGGTATACAGACTCTGAAGAGCTTTCAAACACTTCAACCTCACTTCACCTTGCTAAATAAAACACACTGAGATTAGCTGATAGAATACTTTCACCAAATGCACATGAATATTAAAGAGTATAACACTGTAATTTGTTTAATGTACATTTAAAATTTTATGCAAATSAGTGACCAAAGCCAATTTGCAATTCAGCCAGAAACTAAAACTCACATGCAGTCGCCCACAATGTTAATTTTTCTCTATATTTGCATATAGAAACATTTTCATGTGCCATCTCTGACATGTCCGTTATGCTTCCCTTTCAAGTAACTCCACAAAAAGATAAAGAATGCAGCGAGTAAAGCCAAACTAAAGCTGCAGGGTCTGCAGGTGGTTGTTGCAGGCAGAGTGGATGCTCATGTTCAGGGAACAGCCACCAGGCACCTGGGGACCGACAGCTCCCTGTGCTCACCATGGGTGCCCAGGGGCTCCAAATGAGCAGGCACGGGCTCAGCAACACCATGAGCCCAGACAGCAGGGGCACAGGTAACGTGCACTGCACTGCTGATCCCAGAATGTCCATCACTGCACCTCTCCCAGCAGCACAGCAGGGCTGAGGAAGGCCAGAGGCTGCAGAGACCCTCCCGAGGCAAGCCACAGCCCTGGCACAGAAGAGTGGCTCGTGTCCCTTTGTCTGAGCCATGCTGGGGCAGCAGCTGGTTCACCCAGGAAATGTGGGTGTCATGGGACAGGGCCCATGGATCAAGGTTTGTATCCTACAGAAACTGCTGAGGGACAGAGGAACTGGGCACCCTGTGCTGCAGGTGCCTAACTCCACTGCACTGTCCTGGCAAACTATGGATTCTTGTTGAAAAATATATGTGGATAGCAAAAAGGTTATAAACACAAATCTACCCAAATATGACCTGTAGAGTTCACTGCAGTGTGAATTAACTTTGCTGAAAGTGAAGAAATTACCAAATGTAAGCCCTTAAGCTCAAGAACCAAAATGAACTATTGAACTTCATAAATAAAACTCCATGGCCAGAGGGCTTCATTTCTGAATCTATTCCAGAATCCAGTCTATGTTTAAAAACTCCTCACACTAAGAAATAAAAGAACATTCACAGACTGACATAAAATCAGAAAATATAAATCCTGAACTTTAAGTTTCTTTYCTCCTTCACACCTATGTCAAAAATTGAAATAGAATACAAAAGCAGCACAGAATGTGGATTTTCAGAACTTCCACCAAGAACAACTGCTCCTGAGAAATCATCTCGCTATATCCAYAAGAAGTCTCTGAGCACTCGTGCTCTCTTCTAGGGATCTTTGTGACTACCACTGCAGAGAAAGTCAATGAGATGTAAGCTGTGTTTAAAGAGATCGATCATAAGATCTTTCAAGGTACAGAAAACATCCTTGAAGAAAAATTACACGGATGTGATGCACAGCTAAAGACGCCCAGAGCAATGCTGCATGCCACAGTTTTTCACAGCACCTGTGTGGCAGCAGCAGACCCTCTGTCTGCTCATATTGCCCAGTGTGTCCAGAGCCATYGCTGCTCAGGGGACACGAGCCCCGATGGCCCCAGCTGGCTGAGCCCCAGAGGGTCAGGCTGAGCTCCACTCTGGCCTGGATGGRCAGGGCACAGCGAGGCAGCAGCTTCAGTCCCAGCTTCCCTGGAGCCTGTCCCAGCTGCGCCCACAGCCAAGGGCAAAGCTCAGCCCAGCGGGACCCCAGACCTGGCCACAACAGGTCAGACTGCCATGGAGCCCCAAGGCCTCGGGGCCATCCCCAAACTCATGGATGGCTGGTGCCAGAGCTCAGCAGGCCCTGCATGGGGCTCTCTGTAAGGCTGGAGGCAGAAATGGGGCCAGGCAAGCAGGAACCCCAGCTGAGCACAGCTCCCTGCAGGCCCTGGAGGCCACAGCCAGGCCCTGCCCAGTGTCTGGCAGCAGACCCAAGGAGAAGGGATGGCAGGAGAGGGGCAGCAAGAGAGGGAAAAAGGCTGCGTTCCACCGGGTCCTCCTGCCTGGCAGCGGGGCCAGGGGACACAATCSCTGGGAATGACTGCCCCTTGGTAGGGCAATGATGGAGGGAGGACTCTCTGAGTTTAAACTGCTGTCAGGGATGGAATTCACMTCTTTGGAGAGGGAAGAACCCCCCCTGCACATCAGCTTGCTAACCTYGGTGAAAAGGATTTAAAGCAAAGTCAGTGGAGTGGAGTGGAGTAGCAGGAACGGTGTGGGAAGGCTGAGGAGCAGAGAGCTGGGCAGGCAGGGAAGAAGGGCAGGGTGAAGGTGGGYGTGCATGCAGCCAGCCCAGGATRCAGGAGCAGCAGTGCCAAGACCCTSCACATGCCACACAAGAGATGTCTCCTGGTCACTGTGGGAATAACCCAACCTGAAATCTCTGGGCACCCCAAACACCTCCGAGCAAGGAAGGAATTGGGTGGGAATGTTCAGGTTTGGGTGATTTCTGACAAACTTAGGCCAGCACAAAAGCTGTAAACAGGAAAAGACTTAGAAAACTAAGAGATGAACTTGTTTAACTGATTCATTAATTAATTAGGAGGTCAAGCACAAGAGGAACATCTGTTCCAGAGGGCCCTGGGTTCATCCTTTCCATAGAAACAGACAATAAGCAAAGTAAGAGGAAAAAGAAGGAAATGCCAAGAAAGAAAAACCATTTTCTTACGTRTTAGGACCTGGTTTTAAGAACCATGATTGTCCAGGTTTCAAAAACAGTTTCATGCATCAATTAAATAGGTGAAAATTAAGACTGAACAATCTAATTTAATACCTTTCTTTTCAAGAGGGCTTTTTAAATGCAATTATATTATAGTTTATACACTTTTAATTTATGCTCCCAGATACACGGGAATGAAAGACACTTTAAAGGAGAGAAGGGCAAAAACTGAAACCCACATTCAAGTGAAAATGTGTAACAAAAAGCCCTGCAGACGTTTGTCTGAAATCTGGGAGACAGGATTAACATACAAAATATAAGGATTTTCCAAAATATAAGGATTTTCCAAATTAGAGAACTAAACTTCTGTATCCTATCTCTGAAAAACGGCATTGGAGCTACTACAAAGACATCTAAGAACTGTTATTTCTGTGGTTTAATTTGCATGTCTTCTGAAGTAGAAAATGAAACTGCTCAGGAACCTCCTGCACTGCTGTTCCCTTTTTGCAGCAGCAGCTTTCAGAAGAGTTAATCATTTTGGGGTGACTTGTGTTCATGTGAAATGGAAATAGCCCATGGCTACTGCCTCAGTCTTCATTTTTTAAATGACAATCATAGCAAAAATTATCTCCTGATCAAAGCAAGGCAAAATGAAGAAACTTGGGTAACAGCTTACAAGTMTTTCAGGCAGGGCCAATGCAAACCACTCTGTTGGGGATTCTGTGCTTCTGGAGCATTTGCATTTCTGGTTGGCTCTTACTCCATCTTTTTCCAATATACTCTTCTATTGCAACTCCCTCCTCCTTTCAGTGCCTCCCAAAATGTTCATTCTCTCCCTTTTCATCCTTTGACACCTGTCCCAGACTCTTTCCCATGCTGCCCACAGTCTTTCTCACTCCACTCACTCCACAGGTGACACATCCACTACACCAACAAAATCTCACCCCATCAGGTGGACTGGGACATCAAACACATTAGTGATTTCAAGACTTAGAACCCCAAGGCAACTCTGTGGCCTGCCACAAAAAAATACTCCAAAGCAGAGGTACGAGAGCAGTCTGATGGAGTTCTGCTGTTCCAAATGGTCCTGTTTTCACCCTAATACTGTAATTTAAAATGTCTCTGATATGAAAGAACATGTTCTTTTTTAAAAAGCTGAGGCGTAAATGCGTACCATGGCTGCAGGCAGATGACCAGACCCTCCCTGAGGTTAAACTAAGAAGATGTGAGAAASGAGTGGACATGCCATGAGAAATGTGACAGATGAGAGTGACAGATTCCACAGATGGCTAAAGGGAGTGAGGTGAGAAATGGATGGACTTCAAAGACACTGGGAGGGGGCTGAGAGCTGTGAAGTACAACCCCACGAGATTCTGGAGGTGCTACTCTGTGGAAATGTTCTACAAGGTTTAGAATATGCTCTCAAAAATCCACTGCAATTATTCCAATAATAATTTGTTTAAATTACATATTTGTTTAAATAATTTATTTTAAATTACAAGTCATAGTAAAACAAAGCCCACCACACACCTAAAATCCTGATTCTCCAACCTGAGCTGGCCCCCCCACTTGTTTGATAACTTGAACAATGTCTCCTTCCAGAGCATGGCAGCTTGTGAGGGACAGCAATGTCACCAACAAAGGACAGAGAGCAGCAGCTTTGTGCTCCAGGCACTGCCACAGCCGTGTCTCTGTGCCCAATGCTCACTAAGCCACACTGCAGTGGCTCTGGGGCAGACAGGGGCTGTGGCTGATTGGAGCACCAAGCAGGAGCTTCCTTATGAACAAGGTTTGTTCCACGATATATAATGTAAAAGGGAAAATTTGTAAAGAGTAAGTTTGAGAAGTACGAGTTTGGAGTGCAAAGAAATCCCATGTCTAGTGTAAAGCACAGAGGATGTTCCTAACCCTGAACTGCTCCTCCAAGTGAAGGCAAGGTGCAGATCCCTGGCAGCTGCAGCATCACTGACTTCTTTCACTRTGAAAGCCAACATCTGTGTAACTCATCTTGTTCAGACTTCAGCACAGGAATGACCGAGCCAGAGCCTTAATATTAAGATGCTGTTTGAAGCTACTGAAAAAACTAATATTTTAAAATAATCAGCTGTTAACTATTGGTTATGTAAGTCATCAGAATGAACTTGCAGACTTAGGTATTTTTTTCAGCAGTGGTCTTAGAAAAGGAGAATAGTCTGAATCAGGATGCTGGAGTTTAATGAGCATTTCAACAGCACAGGTAAGTCTCCTTCGTATTTGTTGGAGAGGGTTAGCAAGTGAGTTTAGAGTAGGAGGAGTGATTGCAGTGGTTTTGGGGGGAGTGGGAGCATGGGCCGTCCCACTGCTGCCTGCCTGGGGTACAGAACCCCCAKCAGCAGTGCAGAGTCCTGCTCCCTCAGCACCCAAATGCTCCTCTTGCTGCAAGAACTGCATGGGTATTACCAGCACTAAGCACTGTGCTGAGCCAGACCAGCACTGCTCTGGCTTCTATCTGGTGTCTCAACAATTGTTCGAAGAAAAAGCTACAGGGAACCTTGGAAAGATTCTTCAAGGAAGGGAGTGAATTGATGAGAACACCACTGGTTGTGGAGCCAGTGGTGTCTGTTGAGGACCCAGAGATTTCTTCTAACCTTTGGAAGACACACATGGAAATCCTGTTTTCATTCTTGTTCAGACACAGAGGCTCTCAGGGGTGCTCTGAGGAGACTTCTCTTTCTCTTGTAACCAGAAGAAAAGCCCCATGGAAGAAATTCTATCAAGATACTTCAGCAGAGACTGAACACATGAAAAGCCCCAGGACCCAGCAGACTGGGAGCAGTGCTCCTAATTTCAGCAAATATCTGGAAGTGACCTGACTGACAGACACCAGGTGAGGAACCAGAACAATCTCTCGGCCAGCCCAGGATGATGCACCAAACACGTGCTGGGCAGTGCAGCAGCAGCTGCCTCCAGTGCACTCCAGTGGGTGGGAACACACAATACTCACCCTGTCGTGTAGTGTCCAACCAACATATTTTAAGTAACTATCATTCAGGAAGGCATCACTGTACATTTTCATCCAGACACCAATTTCTTCGATGCAGACAGCTCTAATCTCAGCAATAGCATCACTAATGAGAGAAAAAGAAAAGAACGAGGGTTAGCCAGATTATAGACACTTGTACTTSTCATTCCCATTGCCACAGCTGTAATATTTTACTTTTATTTGTCATGAACTTCACTGTGTGAGGCCTGTCACTGTCCTTACTGCTATCTCACTGATTTTCTGTTCTTCTACATCCTTGAAGTCTTTGATCTATCTAATAATTTCAGTCGGTATATATTCTGATGTATTTCCTCTACATAAAATAATTCTCACTCTAGTTTGCTTCTTAGTCTATTACTTGATCCTTTAACCTCTCTCTTTTCAAAGGGAGTTATGAATCCAAGCTACAAACCTCCTCTGGACAATCATTTCTGAAACAGTACCACTGACATTTGCTTTGCATTCCTGACTGACTCCAGCTCAAGATGCAGAACCCCTGCAAGGTGGGAGAAGTTATGTGGTTCAGCCAAAGGCACCTGCCAGAGGAGCACAGTGGAATTTGCTACAGAGATCTCATCTCATGCCCCCATGAAAGACCCTACACAAAAATCAGGAGAATTTTGCACTTCAGCACTGATTTTTTCCAATTTTCTTGCTTTAATCCTACTTTCTGACTGTGGCAAGTCATGGAAGAGGCACAGGCAGACTTCTCAGCTGCTTAGTGAGGAAGGGCAGCAGGAAACTGTGTGGAGAGACCACCTAAAGAGAGCAGGATGGAAACACTTTCCATCTGATTGGCACTTCCCTGCCTGTCTGCCATGGAGCATGGCATATTTACTAATAATGAAACAACAGGAAAACGGATGGGCACCATCTGTCCCTTCAGGAATTCCATCTCTGGGACATCTGCTACCATGAGAAATCAYTTGTGCCACTCCAGCTGGCACTGCCTCACAGTTCTACATTTCAGCTGTAATACAAGAGCAACACAAAGAGTCATTGCAGAGAAGAAGGGAATGTCTGGTGCTTTGCAAACACTACACTTGCTTGTAATCGAGACCCTTGTTTTGCATTTTTATTTTAAAAACTTCTTTTGAAAAGTAATAAACATCAACTGAATTCTAAAGCCGACCAACAGAGCTCCGAAATTAAATTTAATTCATGGGAAAAAAAAGAAACAAAGAAATTCCAAACTTCAAGTAAAAGAATAATTGCAAAAATGAGAAACTGTATTTTTCTAAAAGACTTAAATTTAACAAAATATAAATAAAATTCACTCACTCTTCTGGTCAAGATACTGCAGAGGTTCACAGTGTAGCAAACCCTGRTGACTCCACACTGGAACTCTCTCCTTCCCTCCTGCAGRCTGGCCCAGCTCACCTGGTGCCATGTCCTGTCCCGGACCTTCCAGAGCCCCCCACATGGACCACTCACAGCATCACACAGGGCCAGGGGACATCTCCAGGCAAGACCAAGGGTTCAAATTCAACTTCTAGGGAGGAAACTGCTCTGCTGAAGAGCAGAAAAGTATCAACAGCCTGTCATGCATTTAATGCATGAACATGGGGGGAAATGTGTGC